GAATGTCCAAATCTGACTTTTTATAAAAGAAGAAAACATACTACCATTCCGTTATTTTCGAAATTCATGGTGTCTACAGAATATCGCAACAATGCATTTTTTCATTGATTTGCGTCGCAACAAAGGTTGGTTTTTGCTTTGTAGTAAAATTTATATTTGCTGAATAACGAAAATACTTTCTGCATTTTTCCGTAAAAAGTAACATTTAATTAAAGTAATGGATTTGAGGTTGAGTAAATAATGTTAGAATGCTCGTTTCCTTGGTCCCTTGATGTTTCATTGTCAACTCCTATCCAACGAACTACTAATTCGAACAACAAGAGCCTTGATATGTGAACACAGACTATGTATGATGTTGCATGAAATGGACCGAATTGTTTTCTCTTTCAAAAAACATTTTAAGGAATGAAAAGGTTTTTTACGATCTTGCATAAAAATTTCACAAAAAGTTAAATGGAAAGACGTCGAAAAGTATCAAATCAGGCTATATTATTTACATTATGATTAATATTTTGTGTTTAATAAGTGAATGCATTGACACTGTGTATTCAGCGTTGTTCCTTAACCTTACAAAGGTTTATATAAGTAATATTCCAAAGCTTGTCGTTTGTAGAATTATTTCGAGTATTTCGCACCCATAAGCTCTTATGTAATTACATTTCGTGCTCTTGATAAAGCAATTTCCAAATCGTGCTCCATTTGTCATAACAAATTTAGATAGAATAAAGTCTCAGTATCAGTAGAACTCAAACGTGGATATATGTACAATAGGTATACAAATTTATTTACTTGTTCATAATGATCCGTCTGGTGCACCAAGGTCGTATGTGTGATATGCATGTTTTTGCGACGTGGATTCGCGCTGCCCACTTCTAGAATGCATTCATACTTATGTATATGTACTTCAATGCACGACGGTCTTAATGCAAGGAATCTTTGAAAAAATGCATGTTACTGCAGCAATAAAAAATATTTATGGTATGCATAAGTACAATCATAGCAACAACGGCACATATTTCAGCCATGCAAATAACAATTGTGGTTAGCTGCCGGTAATTAACGGCGCGTCACTAAAAATACGCTTGACGTAGGTCATGTTTTCCGTTTTCAGTATTCGGACTCGGTCTTTCGTTTCTAATCAGAATATGGCGGCGGCAATAGTGGAGGCGGAAATTGGTTGCTGGGGCCTGCGCCTAAACTCGCGACTGGCGCCAGGCGGGCCGTAAAAGTGTTTTCTCGCCACATTATTTACATTAAAGTGGAAAAATGTTAATGCATTTTTGGTTTTACGAACTCGTTAACCATTCAAAATGAGCTAGATGAGTACTACCTTCACGCTGTGGCAGCAGTGCGCGAAACAATCCTATAAAATAGTAATAAATTTCATAAGCAAAAAAAAATTTGGTTTAAGTCAAATTGAATGTGTCTGCCACCTAAAGAAAACCAAAATGATTAATTTGGCAAACCTTTGAACGTACATTTTTTTGAGAGTTTTCATCATTTTAATAAGTCACAGCCACCCTGTCACCAATAAAGACCCGCGACATAAGGATGGTAAATATATATTGGAATTTCTATTCCAAAAAGAAAATAAGTCAAAGCTTTTTAATTATTTTATTAATTATTTTCATATGCATAATACACCTTATATTTATCATCAATTCGTAGTCAGTATTTTCTTATTCTTAACTGGCGTAAACACTGCTTACGCGATTATAGCCGAGTTATCCTTTTCATTGGGGACGCTTTTCACATGGCGACTATCAAACCCTGCGCACAAACCTGTGGAGGGATGGTTCGCCTTCTTACTTTAGCTCGCCTTCAAATGTTCTTTGGCTAACCAAAGGAAACTTGAGCTAAGACCTGTTTAAGAAAAAATAATAGTTTCTGGCCACTCCCAACTGAATGGAAATTAGAATACTTTCCCCACTGGGGTGATCTTCTACATATGACTTCGTCGTCCTCGTAGCCAGTGTACCCATTTGTAATCTTTGGAGGCTGGAAATTATGTCTGGTCATTGTCCCATATCTAAAAATATTTCTAAAGCGAACCTCAGCCAAGTCGAACAAATCAAGGTAACTTTTTGAACATTTATTTGTAAAGGGCAAAATATGTATTTCCGACTTGCGATGTATGCGATTTCATGATTTGCACGTAAAATCAACCAGATATCAACAAAACACTAAGTATAAACGAAACAAAAGAAAAACTTAATTGATTACAATTATTGGAGCCATTAAACTCGGACTCTGGACAGCAAATATAAGTCGAGATAAGATAAGGAACCCTACCGAGAGATCTCGATTCATACTTTGCTCGTCTAATTGTTGAGAGATGAAATAGAAACACATAAGCAAGTAAAAGTATACAATAAAGTGAAATACAAAGAAAATTATTGATCAGTAAATCGATGCAAGTCCAGTCTTTTGTGCGTAAACATTTTTAATAAAATACAAATGCGAACTGCTCATTAGCGCTACGTGCCTTTAAATCTATAGAATAGCTTAAATCACAAAACAGAGAAAAAATTGCTGATAAGATAGACTAAGTGCATTTATAAATATATATACTTATATTTGTATTTGCAAAAACAAGCAAGGCAGAGCTGTGTTCGGGTAAAACCGAATATTTTATACTCTCCCAATTTTCAAATTTTCAAAGATCAAAGCCAGAAGCATATTTTCAGGTATTAAGCATCAACTAAAGGATCGGAAATCATTATGTTAGGGTTATGAGGATTGATCCACGTTCTAAACCAATTTCATTTATATTTAGCATTAGACTACTTAATTTTGAAGAAATCTTGTACACTTAATTATTAAATCATTAAATCATGAAAATATCAGACATACGACCTTCAGAAACAATTGAATGTGAGGTGGAAAGTCGCAAATTACTATTCAGGGTATATTGAGAGGAAAGCCTGGACATGTTTCCACGAAATTTCATTGAGATAGCTCACACACTGACCGATATATTCGCCATAAAATCTGCTAGAGTAACGAAGATCTTTACATGTAGTATATGAAAGCTGTATAGTATATTCAATAATATACTTTGCTTTTTTACGCTGTTTATTTTAAGCATATTTATGACTTTATAAGTAATATTGAAAATCCAAGCCAAGCAAGGAAGGACTAAGTGCGGGTGTAACCGAGTATCGGTTATCATATTTCTTCAAAAATAATCCCCGTGAGAACGTAACCGACAATGGCGACCATTATCGGGCCAAAATAACCGACTATTTGATGCCTGAAATTAAAGCTCGTGATCTCGCGAAATTTGGCTTCAGCAAGGCGGCGTCAGTTCCCAAACCAGTGACTGTATTTGCACCAGTGAATGTATTTGTTGGGAGAACACTTCGATATTATATATAAAGTCTATTCGGGCCTTGGAGCCAAACATTTATTTAACATCAAGACGTATCATTCGTCAGTTACCGGTCGAAATGCTCAAACAAGTCATCGAAAAATGGACTCAACGGTTGAACCGGAAATGTAGACGCGGCCAATTTTTGCAAGGATAATCTTCAAAAAATAAATGCCAAAGAATGTTCTTTCGAATGATAATCAATATTCCCCATTAAATTTGAAGCTTCTGTGTTTTCCTTTAAAAAAGTATGGAACAAAAATATTAGATTACAATATACTCTGCAGCACCATGTTGTGAGAGCAAAAAAAAAAACGAAGTGTATATATACATACTTAAGTATGTAAGCATTAAATGATAACCCTAATGAGTATACGCGCTATAAAAGTGCATATACTGCATATAGGTCAATGAAAATTAGTTTTTTAATGAACAACAGACAATAGTTATAGTACTTTTAAACCTTTAAAAGGAAAATTAGAGATTTGCTGAATTACTTGTTATATAACTAAGAACTATTGTGAGACCATTGAAGTCGGCACTTTCAAGAATAGATGCCGATCAATTCAATATTACTCACAAAATAATTTAGAAGCAAACCAACCGATTACCAATAGCTTTTCTTTACACATAAAATTAACTAATGCTAAGCTATATCTAAGCCAACAAATAAATCATTAACAAGTAAGGAAGGGCTAAGTTCGGGTGTCACCGAACATTTTATACTCTCGCATGATAAAGTGATAATCGAGATTTCAGGCGTGSTTGTGAACCGATTTCATCCATATTTGGTACATGTCCTCAGGGTGTTAAGAAAATACTATATACCGAATTTGAAATCGGTCAAGTACTTCCTGAGTTATGGTTTTTGGTTCATAAGTGGGCGACGCTACGCCCATTTTCTATTTTTAAAAAAAGCCTAGATGCAGCTTCGTTCTGATATTTCTTCCGTAAAATTTAGTGTTTCTGACGTTTTTTGTTAGTTGGTTAACGCACTTTTAGTGATTTTCAACATAACCTTTGTATGGGAGGTGGGCGTGGTTTTTATCTGATTTCTTCCATTTTTGAACTGTACATGGAAATGCCTAAAGGAAACGACTATATACAGTTTGGTTGACATAGCTATAGTAGTTTTCGAGATAAGTATAAAAAAGTTAGTAGGGGGCGGGGCCACGTCCACTTTTCCAAAAAAAGTACGTCCAAATATGAGTTTCTAATGCGATCCTTTGTGAGAAATTTCATTTTAATATCTTTATTTATGGCTTAGTTATGACACTTTATAGGTTTTCGGTTTCCGCCATTTTGTGGGCATGGCAGTGGGCCGATTTTGCCCATCTTCGAACTTAACCTTCTTATGGAGCCAAGAAATACGTGTATCAAGTTTCATCATGATATCTCAATTTTTACTCAAGTTACAGCTGGCACGGACGGACGGACAGACAGACATCCGGATTTCAACTCTACTCACCACCCTGATCACTTTAGTATATATAACCCTGTATCTAACTTTCTTTAGTTTTAGGACTTACAAACAACCGTTATGTGAACAAAACTACAATACTCTCTTTAGCAACTTTGTTGCGAGAGTATAAAAATATTGATTCTAAATAGAATACATGAGTTTACTTACATCTTGGCCAATTTGTCCCATATCTGCACAGAACTCAAACATTGAGAAAATGAGAAGGGGAAACCGAAATCGTTCAGTTTTCAAAACAAAGGCTATAATGTCGACACGTGCGATTGTATTGGAATCAGCCGTCAATGTACACATTCAACATACACAGCAACTTGCTACAACTGGCGGCGAATCAGGTTCAGGTGGAGCAACTCTTAAACTGATGATCTGAACAGCTGCACGCCGTAACGAAGGCCAGATCTAACGAGCCTTCTCGCTGCTGAGGGAACGGTACGCACGCTGCCGTACCGTGTTGTCACGAAAGAGTGGATTTGGAGAACTCTTTTTGTTTGTTTATTATTTCTGTGTTCACACACAATTAGATTTCTCCGTTTGTTCAACTTTAGGTTATTCGGTAACCTTACTTAGTTCAGCTGTCGTTTCTGTAGACATGCAATACTGGTGCAATCTGGGGCCGTAGCTTCGCTATTAGAGTCAAATAGGGCGCGACTTTTATGCTTTTGTATAAATTATTTAGTTATTGTTTTCATTGACGAGTTATTAATGGACTTCTATTTTTAACTTCGTTGCAATTTACGAACTGCTCTGCTCAATCACAGCTATTCGTCCACTTTTATGGTAGTTACGAATGCTTTTCGATTGCAATCAACCGTTACAACAGCTTTTTTACCTCACACGATTGGGCTCGCTACGGTAAACTAATATAAACGGTGTTTCGCTACAATGTATGTACCTCTCGTGCTAGCTGTTTAATGATACGCTCTTTTTCGCACAATATTTTTTTGTTTTATTTATACTAATTTCCACACCTTCGCCTTGTATGAATTCTTTTCATTGGCACTCTTTCACCGTCTTTCTTTTGATCTTCCCCTCCTCCTCGTCTAAGTTAGTTGAGAATTCGGTAACAATCGAAACCATGCGTCGCTGCTTTTCAAACTGGTTTGTGTTGAAACACCTTGCTCCGCTGCACCGTTGCACCGTAGCACCGATTTCTCTTTGCTTTGCTCTGCTGCAGCTGTCAACTGCAATCCAGCTACTGCCGGTTGCTTTGTTTAACTCTGCACGAAATGTTTACTCTTTCAACTCAGCTGTTTTGCTGGTGTTTCTGGTTTAGTTAGTGTTGTTGGCACCGTTTACTGTCATACAATGTTGCTATCGCTGCTGCTGTTGCGTTTGTGGAACTTGTTAAGTTTTTCCGTCTTTTGTCTATTATAATCCCACCGCGGCGGTTGCTGTCCGGGTTGTGATTGAGACGCTTGAAGGTGAAGATCGCACGTCGTATGTTGATGAAGCTCAACTCTTCGATGCGTTGTTGTAATTGCTGTAGTTGTTCTTTGTAGTGTGGTAGTGTCTTAACTGTAATGGTTATGTTTTTGTTTTTGCTACTCATTTGTATATGCAACAACGTGATGGATACAAGCGCGGCGTTTGCGGCGGCAAATCGTCAAATTGTACAAAAAATATGGAATATAATATATTTGATCAGGTGTTGATTTTTAACGGTTATTCACGCGATATATTCTGCAATGAAAGGGGAATTATGTTAAAATGTTCTATTAATTATACTATTACTATTATAAATACTATTTTTAATGGTTAAAAGAGCTTGATTACATATAATAATAATGTCTTATCAAAGCAAAATATATATTTCAAACTTGAAATCATTTTGCCAATTTTTGGCTTTGTATCATACACATATATCTTTCCCATACCATTATCTCTTATATAAATTGTAAATATAAGACATAGGTACAATAATGTAAATTCATACATACATATATATTTGATCCTGTCAGCTCGGTTTCGGTCTCGGATTTTTAAAACGCTATTGAAAAAATTTATTATTAAACCAGACAAATTAAAAAAAAAACAAGTAAGGAAGGGCTAAGTTCGGGTGTCACCGAACATTTTATACTCTCGCATGATAAAGTGATAATCGAGATTTCAGGCGTGCTTGTGAACC